GAGGGCCTCGCGCGTATTTTGGTGGCACCGGGTGGTTAGTCGTCACTTCGTCCCACCGACAAGTACTACTGCTTCTGAGGAGCCAGAAACTAGCAGCGCCGCCTCTGCGACTCCTCTCTCTCTCGTTCCTATTACAGCGGAGACGGAGATGCAGAGTTTGGCACGGGGAAGGCGGACCAGTGGTAATGCTAGGCCTACCTTGGAACCTGTTTCTGGTGCTGGTGTTGGCGGGACAGAGGGTAGTGCTGCGTCATCTTCTCAACCAAACACTGCGGAACCGCTTGCATCTGATGAACTGTGTGATCGTTTAAGAACGACTCTTGTCGCTTGTCAAGATGCTACTGTTGTGCAGATCCTTTTAGAATTTTGTCTGCCCACAGCTAAGGAAAAGGTGACCTCAGGAACATTGAGAGTATTTGTCGAATTTACTGCCACAGCAATCTTTTAGACTATAAAGCTGTAGTCATTGCTTCAGTGCTTATAATGGAAGTATACTGAGGCAAGTTGATGCACTGCATGTTTACTTTCTTTGCATCCTTCAGAATTTGAAATCGGAAGTCACTGAGCTGCGGCAAGTACAGAATATTATTTGCACCTTCATCCATTTCCTCTTCATCGGTGATCCGGATTTGGCAAAAGTCGTTTTTTGGCAGGTGAGAAGTTGATTACACTTCATCCCCATCAGTACAACAGTACGCACTTTCTTGCATCCTTTTTATAAGAGGTGAAGTAGGTGCTACTTCGTCCAGTCTGTGTTATTCCCTTAAATGATGCTTTTCATTCTTTCCTCACCATATCCCAAGTCATTCAACTGCGTGAGAGGCAGAAACAGGGTTGAATAAAACTGGGCTATTCACGTCTGTAGGGTAATTGTCCAAAATAAGGTTCTGCGAGGTGCTTGAGGCATTTTTTATGCCATTGTTCATAAAAACGTATGCAAATTCGCAGATGATAGAGTTGAAATGTTGGTTGCTTGGTCATTGAATTGGCAGTACCGTTAACTTATGCATTTTTTTACAGACCTATCCAAGATCATTAAATCCGCTTGCTACCCGTGCTATACCGTCCATTCAAATATGCACGGACACCGTTCTGGAGATCTTCTTAAAAAGTGGAAGCCTGGAAGATGTGGTTAGTGTCGTAATCTTTTCATTCACAATGCAATGCAAGTTTGAAGGTTTTCATTTATCGCTGCTTTGTAACACTAGACTTTTTGTCTGGACTTTGTCTCCCATCTGGCCTTGCATTGCCCCTTTAATGCGGTGCACAATCTTGCAACGTATGCTGTTGAGGTTATGGGTCTCATATTTACACGTGAGTTCTCACCAAACTTGCATTAGTAAAAATAAATATCTTATGTTAAATTTTACTAGTTGCACAGTAATTTGCTTGCTGTAGGTAAGTGTCTCATGCTACACTGGGTGGATGTGTTCTCTTAGTTGATTTTGCTTTAAGGGTCTATCACGTAGCGGCGGTAGGATCTGCAGAGAGTGATAATGATTTACTACTTGAGCTGACATGAAGGGCTGCGATTAATTTACACACTGGAGGTTGCTGATACCTGAACCTAGAGCACCCTACAACTTGATACGAACTGATTTTATAGGGAGGTAAAAATGCGAGAGTAAAATATCTGGACATATTGTCATGTATAAGTGATGCTGATAAACACAAATAAAATGCCAAATTCACCTTCATTGTATATGCTCACAAGATCTGGCCAGCTTGGAGGAGATGGCGCCCCTGTTGGTTGCTTGTGGACCGGCTTTTTGTCGCCTGGCCTGCGCCTTCCCAAGCTTCAGTCATCGTTTGGCTGCCATTCTCCTCAGTGCCATGTCAACTCTTTCTCAGGCTGTCGCCGTGATCGGTGGATCCAGGCATCGTGATCTCTTGGTGAAAAGCATCGTTGCTCTCAAATCGAGCGCTCTTTCGGGTTTTGATGGTGAGTTTGTGGCCGGTGCAGGATTTGCATCGCTTATCTTGGTCATTTTATGTACATTGTTTTGTCATTTGATACAGTTCAGAACCAACCAACCTCTCATAACTTCCTTTTAATTTTGTGTATGTTTGCAAACCACGTTGTACCCGTTCGGTTCGTTCTGATTGACATACGATGATAAGTTTAGAGCTTAAAAGTCAATGAATGGAGACGACTGCCTTGGGTTGGCACTAGAGCTAATCCGATTTGTGAATAGTTTTTCCCCACGCTCTCGACCTTGCGGTTACTGTTAATCCTAGACCTCCTTTGCGCCATTAAAAAAAGAGTACATCGCAAACCGACAGCCAACGATTTTGCCGTGTATTGACGAGATCCATGCATCCTTGCATTCCCACTAGATGCACTCTCTAAAAGCTTGGACTTGGTGGAGGATGGGGCGGAGAGCTTGCCGAATCTAAGCCACCTGACGAGGACGGAGAGGTACACCGTTGCGTGTGTGCATGCAATGTTATGCTTCAATCGGCTTGTACGTCTCACGACCCCTCAACGACGCCTCTATCTAGCACCGGGTATTGATGAACTGCCTTCTCTTCTAACTTGGCAACCACTGCCGTCCGTGTACAGTTTTTGCCATTCAGAAAAGTAAAGCATTGTGAAAAACATCTCCTGGAATTGGGCAAGGAAGGCATTCATTCGGCTCGGACACGTGAATCAGAAGTAACGACCATAAACTACCAGTACTATTTCGTTTTACCTCATCGCAGGAAAGTGTATTCTAGTTTAACTGCGCTCTTTGATGTAGCACCCCAGCACAAACCTCACAGACATAATCATCCCAGGGCAGCAACAATATCAGCTGCGAATTCAATACCTCTTAAATATTCAACGGACAGAGGCGGGGTTTTAAAATGACTTTTAATGATCTATTTGCAAATAATATGAATCAAGTAAAAAGATGCAGAGAAGATTAGAATGCTAAGCAGTGGGATTCTTAATCACAGAAACACTTCCATCCGCCCTCCCTAAATAGGCCTGATAGGCAGTTCCCAAGAAGAGGCCAGTGCCAACAACGCCTAAAAGGAAAAGACAAGGACTTGTTGAGGTGGTGAATGCTGGGTGGCTGTTAATTAGGCGGCGCCAGCTGAAACCTCCAACACCATGCATAGCAGGTTAAAGGTATTTTTGCACCCTTTTACGCTATGAGTGGAAACAGCGAGGACCAGTACTGGATTTTAACGAGATTTTAAAAGGGAAGAACAAGTTGTTGTGCAGGTATTCAATAAGTGGGTAACTGTGATGCGGTACATATGTCAAGCCAAAATTGTGTACTACTTACCCGGAATCATATGAAGGTCAAGAT